TGCCTGTCTATCAAGAACTAAAAAACAAAGGTTAATATCTTACCTGAATATCATGCCCAATGGGCACCAAATCAGGCCCAAAAGGCTCAAAGAACAAATGCATAATTCTTTTCACACTTACTTTTTTCCAATGACGAAACCAGAGTTTGCCATTGAACCAATCTCTTGCAACACATCCCAGTTACACTTCCAATATGTTATTGGGGTACCATTGTTATCAACAATTGACAAGATTGATTGAGGCTTCATTTAGGCTCTCAACATGCCAAAATACTGGATTGCATCATCTCGGAGATTTGACTTCACACGCCGATTTCTGCAGAAGTCACAGCCGCGCCCATATTCGGAACACTTCGTATTGATCTGCAAACTCAAGCTTCCGCCAAACCCAACATGACACCAGACATGACGCTTGTCCAAGGTGATTCTTGGGTCAAAATTCTGTTTGTTACTCTTCAACTTGTATTTTGCAACATCGTCTGGTACATTGAACACAGGAAGCAGATTCCAAATTCTGGAAGAGTTTCGCGACACTCGCCAATTCTCTCAGAATAGCATTTCAAGCCAACTGCTCTATGCTGACCATCATACAGAAAGAATCGTAGAGGACACATTGCCTGGACAAAATCTTCGAAATACCGCAAATTGGTGTCATGTGACACAGATTCATCATACTCGTAAATGCCATTCATTTGACATTTTTCCAATAAGGCCAAGAAACCTTCTTTTTCCCAATCTTAAAGAAGAAATAAAAAGCAATGAAAGAACAGATTTCTTCATTCTTCACATCACTTCCTGGTGCACTTCTCTCCAAACCAAAAAACTCCAGAGTCCTTTCAAAGCCTGCAGGAGTCACCTTTGATACCCTGTAGCCCTTCAACACTGCTGTAAGTTTATCATTTGTCAACCATGGTGCTGCCAATGGACACAATGAGCGACTTTCTTCAAACCACTCTAATGTACCATTGTTTTCGCAAGGTTCAATCTGATATACACCATAGCTCATGAAGTTTCCACCATTATCCAGATAGCGTTCAGAATCAGGAAACAGAATGCTGTTCATCAAAGGATCCTGCAGTTCTTCTTATCTTCAATGCTCACAGTCTTCTCATACAAAGCCATTGGATTCAGGAATCTATGATTTGCCCATGGTTGCATCACTTGCCTGCTAAAACCACCATTCTGGACCAACAAGTTCAATGCAATAGGACTATCACAACTCAACACTGCAATCTCAATGCTATCAATGCTTTAAATTCCACTTCCCGAATCTCCAAAGGAATGAAATCCCTCTGTGGTATAACAACCTTCTGCTTATTGGCTAAATGAATACAAGGGAAACCAAAGATGTGTCAGTCAATGAGTATCATTCCCAATGGGCATGACATTCAAAAAAATGAATTTCATGCCCATTGTGCACAATCCCAACCCAGCACTCAAATAATCATTTACCTGCACCATTCAACATCAGTTTTCGCCAACCAGCTCCACATAATGATTCCCATTGCCAGGCATCAATTCATATACACATTCTGCTTTATGCTTATCAAACAAGGTCTTTGCCATCTTGTCAACTTTCAAGCATAGCTTTCGCCTTCACAACTTTCTCAAATGAAATTTATGAGGAATTCTGATGAAACAAAAAAAAACGACCAGCGACGAACGTGCGCGCGCGCCGTTTCGCCACGATTTGACACGTTCAACGTCGCACGCACGACTCGCCACGATTTGACACGTTCAACGTACGCACGCACGACTCGCCACGATTTGACACTTCAACGTACGCACGCACGACTCAATCAGAATCGGAACACGCGCGCGCGCGCTCGCTCAACTGACGTAATGGTAGTACGCACTACATTGCGAATTCTGCTATTTCAGACTCTGGAACTCATTATCTCATAAAATCAAGATCAGTAAAACAAAAACTAATTCTATCAAGTGAACCTCAATCCCATTGTGCACACCATTCATTTACTGACCTTATTCCAACAGCCAACTGAATATAGTGCCAGTGTGCACAGCATTCAACATTGCTTGCAATATTTCCTTCATTTCTTATTCCAATAACCAACTGAATACAGTGCCCATTGTGCACAGCATTCAACACATTTCTTCACCATCATTTCCTTTCAAGTCTACCATTCTTGAGCAATCTGACGGAAATGACTTTTTCTGATGATGAAACTACAATGAAATTGCAGCCATAGTTGCTGGAATTGCTGCTAAAAAACCAATTGCCAACCTAGACAATAACAATGAGCATCTTGACATTGATGCAAACGCCAACTCTAAGCCGGCTGCTAAATCTACTGAAGAGAAGAAAAACAAACAAGGAACATTTTGTCTTCCAGATGCATAAAAGCAATAAGCCCATTTTGATCACTGGAGTTGAGAAAGCTGAGAAGTATAATAAAATGTGAAGTCCCTCATCAAGAAAAAACATCATTTGTTCATCTTGTAACTGCTCAAAAGAAGCTCAAAACACTTGCTGATACCATGGTGACCCGCTCCCACGGCTGCTGCTAAGTTCGTCTTGTAACTCCTAACAAACCAACACCGTCTGAGGCTGAAAGGATGGCTGAAAAAATTTATGCTTCTGCAGAAAAGAAAGAAAGACGCAAGCGATTGGAAGTCTTTGTCAAGACTGTTTCAACAGCCACTATTGCATGCCTGGTCATGAAACCCATTGATCAGTACAATGGCCAGCCTGGTATTTCAAAGTGGAACATATCCACCATGCCTCAAGCTTTTGACCAACTCCTACCCGGATGAGAGATCACGATTAATGAGGCATTAAAAAGCTTGCTATTTGCCACACTGTGGACGTGAATGATCCTTCCGCAATAAGCAATCTATTGAAAATTATGAAGACAAAAAGGCAAAGGTCGCACTAACTATTTCTTTTCCATGTGGACTACCTTCACCATTCCAGTCGAAAACTTTTCATCTGTTAGTGAAGAATCCCTCTGGATTGTGGAGCAGGCCGAAGCTATTGCTAATAAAGTGCTCGAAGTTATTGGCCATGAAGCTTTCAAATACCTCTTCAAAAAGGAAACTGATGATGCCCTGGCCTTGTTCGTGCCATGTATGACCCAAATTGAAGACTAACTTCCCATTTTTGCCAAAAGTGCCATTTTAAAGTCACACAACTCACCCCTGATGAAAGTCTCACTGACCTTGTCCCTACTGAAACGGATCGTGATATCCACAGTGAATTGTTTTGCAGTGCTACAGACACTATGAAGTATTCCAGCACCTCTAAAAACCCATGCCCCAGAATGCCTACGCAATCAATTCACGCGTCCTTGAAACTCATGCCCAATGGGCATAGGATTCCAAAATGGTGACTTCCTAAGTTGCAGAAATGGAATTGTTACCACCCAGACAACAATCAATGTATCCATATCTTGTGCAATCACTCAATCCAAATTCCAAGACTCTACAAAAAAACCAAAAACGAAAACAAAAAATGACGGAGTCACACATATGCTAGGCAGCGCAGCAGCAAAATAATCTTAACCCTAAAAATATCTGTTCACCGCATTCTCCGATTGATTAGTCCTTCACGTACTTTCACACCGCGTAAACTCAACTTCACTTTATACTTCAGACCCACACGGGGGTAAGCTATGAAATTCTAATATCGCCTTCAAGCTTACTCACTCGGCTCCGAGTGTCCCTTCCCCTGGTTTCCATTGTGGCTGTCGAATTGTCGTGGCCGGTGAAATTGGTCTCGGTACCAAAGAACGTCCTTGTGGTGAGCTACATGTAGCTAGCTAGGAGCAAGTCAAGTCAAAACTACCCAACACAAATAAATGAATGTTTCTGAGTACATGTGCGCCCTGGTAGTAGACAGGACAGGCAGGAGACCAACACATTCCAGCAACGAAATTCCATGAATCGAAGACAGGGCAATCTTGCAGTATACCGTACAGCCTATTGAGAGCTGCTTCATCCAGACCTCCTGCATCAAGCATCAAACCCACCCAGAGAATGGACCCTGAAGGAATGATGCCTGCAGGGAGCAGGACCAATGGATGTTCCATCAAGGAGCCAAGAGAATCATTTTCTCTTAGCAAGGGCAAGTCTTCTGACCTTCAAATCAGCCATTTTTTACAGGTAGTTCAAATGAGAGAATGCCACTTTCTATACGGGCGGACTCGCAAGTCTACATGTAAGAGTTTTTTGCGAGATGGATCATTCATTCCTACTCAAGTCCAGCTTTTTAATTACGAGACGGCAATTTGACGAAACTCGGCCTGGCCTTGTTGGAAGCAACATACGACCATGGCATAATCATGCACGTGAAGATGCTGCATCCTGGCAGATCTCAGGGTGGGCAATGCCTTCTTTTTCAGGCAATCCCTGCACAAAAAGGCTCCAGCGAGCATCACAAATCCTTACTACTAGATGGTGGCCACAGGTGCTATTGCTTATTATGGGACATCAACCTATCCCCGTACTGCCGATATCAACCAATTTTGCACCTGGGAGTACAGTGTGCTGCTCATCTCGATCCAGTCAACTCAATGCCCTGAACATAACATGTTTGTTCAGCCCACTACAATGAATTCTTCCCAACCTTGTCGGGTTGAGAATCACTCTTTCAATTGAACCACCCAAGGGAGTCGAGTCAGCAGGATCGAAACCATCAACATGCAGCAGACTAAAAGTTTCGCATCCAAACCACGGTTTGTGAAAGAACCTCTTCCAATTGCAAGGGCGAATTGTTGCAGTTCAAATACATTATTTTGACTCCAGGAATCCATCCGGCTTTGTTGTCCCAAAATGGAGAAAGGAAACCTTGTGTAACGAGCGGGAGATCCAGTTGTTGCCCCAAAGTCAGGTGGACAAGGATATCTATTGCAAAGAGAAAAGGGACTCTTTGAACTTTTGGACAAGATGCATCGTGGTGCTCGACAATCAATGCCTTGGTATCAAGCTGATGAAAGCCCTCTCTTCTGGCATCCAACAATTGACACATTTCCGGCCATCTGATGTTGTTGGTGTCGGCGTTCATTTGGGTCAGGTGTGCTGGACTCGACTCGACTGACTTGTGTAAGGTGTTGCGAAAGGGTCTTGGAGCCCAGGCCCTCATGTCGTCCTGTGTTGTGTTGTCTGCAGATCATTGGGACAGGGAGGCCCAGATGGACATTCTCATCGTACGGCACGGAGGTCATCCCATTTGGTATTGGGTGTTTGAGATTAGTCACCAACGTGCCGCTTTGCAATCACATGCCGTCGAGCAACTGGTAGAGAAGAAAGCCTCAGGTAGGTAGCCCAGCCATGGAAGAAACATCGGTGCTGCCGCACACCGGGACACTGTTATCCATGTGCCTGAGAACGATCGAACCAAAATCCTCATTCACTTGGCTGGCTCCATGCAGAGGGGCAAACCCGCAAACCACAAACCACGCCCCATCTACCAAAACTTGGCGTCTTCATTACGACGGGTATATTCCTTCATTCAAAGCGACGGATCCAGCTACTAGTCTAGCTATCACAGGCATTCCGCAGTGAGTGGGGGCTGGCGGGAATTCAATCCAAACCTTGGCTAGCTAGACAGCCTAGCTAGCAAGTCAACAATCAACCTACTCTGACGACTGTAGCCGTAGCGGTACTATCTCGTATACAGAAGAAAGATTGATCATTCTCATACAGACCGCGCTCCTCTCTTGCTGATTGTATGATTCGATTGATGATTCGATTCAATTCATTCAATCTACCGAACAAGGCAATTCACTGCGAGGTCTGTGAGGTTTTCACCGGTAAGCACATTCTTGAGCGTCAAAGATCGGGGGTTCTGCAATCTGCAAACACACGTTCGTTGCATTGTAATTGCTTGCCTGCTTGCCTGCTTGCCTGCTTGCCACACAAAAAAACGACTCGGGTTGAAACGTTGAAACAGTTCTGGGATCTCGTGGTGGACTAAACATTGGTAAGAGGCAGGGGGCACTTGCGATGGTTTTATTCCACCATGAAGCGCCCGGAAGTGCCTGACTTGGGGCGCCCGGAAGTGCCTGACTTGGGTCGCCTTTTTCCATATACCCTTTCTGACCGGACGTTCAAAGAGTCTGTGGTTCGTTCGAAGCAGGGACCCATTTGCAGTCTCACCGTTACGTCTGAGCCTGTTTCTTGTCTGATTGCTTTGTTTTGTCTACTGCAACAGTACCGTACTGTATCTCACCCTCTTGTCTTTGCTCGCTCTAGCCTGATGTGCGTCAACATGCTCCATCTGCAGTACATGGTTCCTGATGCTGCCCGAGATGTTGGAAAGAGCAAGGCTTCTCATTCTGTTGCATTCTGCAAAGCACCCCGTCAGTCTGAAGCACAAGTCTGTTTCCTGCAATTGATATCACCTGATGATGAGATGCTCTAGAATGTGCTACAGTGCTTCCTTGTCAGGTTCATTGGTGGCACGAAATAGACATGTTTGGTTCATACTGACGCGGATGCTTTGCAGAGTGTAACCAAGAAGAAGACTGCACAAGGAGACACAGCACAGCTCCTCCTTGCTCTGTCCAGATATGCACAGGTGCATGCAGTAATCCACCACCCTCGAGTATTGGGCAAGACAAAGAGGAGGATGCACAAAGTGACTCGGTCAAGGGACAAGAGCACAGAAGAACAGAGGGAAGGCTGCCCCTTTTCTTCTTTGTAGCATTCTGCAAAGCACCCCGTCAGTCTGAAACACAAGTTTGTTTCCTGCAATTGATATCACCTGATGATGAGATGCTCTAGAATGTGCTACAGTGCTTCATTGTCAGGTTCATCAGTGGCACGAAACAGACATGTTTGGTTCATACTGACGCGGATGCTTTGCCGAATCTAGCAAAGAAGAGGAGCAGAAGGCGGAAGGGGCAAACGACCAGAATGGAATCTACCAGGCCGCCAGTCAAGTTTTACGCGGTGATAGCTGTTTCCAAGAACCGAGGCTCTGACGCGATGCACCACCGAATGCTTCCAGAGCTGGAACCGTGGAGACTGCCTCATCATGTCGTTGTACTACGAAAACGCGACGGCAAAGGGTGTGCATTACGCACGGTGCGATTGACCTCTTGCGAAGCCTTGCTACGAATCAGGACAAGGCAAGCGTCTCCGGTAAGGCGAATGTGGTGCCAGATGCGTGCATACAAGCTTGGCATCGAAAGCGTTCGGTGCAATCTCTTCCGACATCTCTCGAGTCGAAGGCAGATTGTGCACGTTCGTTCTTCCCGTGACGGTTACCGATCAAAGAGAACGCATGGAAATACATCGGTGAAGTTTCAGAGGACGTGTCACACGGTCATTGTTCCGTTGAGAGCGAGTGAATCCAGCCCACCACAGCGGGGATCGGGAGTGGAGCTCGCGGTTGCGTCTTTTGCATATCAAACCAAATCTAAACGTTTGACGGTCGCCACAACTGGCCAGCGAGAATGTTGAAATGTGTACTTAAAGAGCCAATGCGGGCTGAGGTGGGAGTTACAAATGATTGGATAAGCTAGCCACTACTTGAAACGATTAGACTGGAAGATTGATTGCACCTTTGGCTGCATGCCAACAAGTTGTCGTATTCATTCTACACGTATTACTGCTTGTAATGTCCGTACATTAGCTGTATTCGTTTGAGCTACTCTAGCTATCTATGATAAGTAGATACGATGTACCGATGGAAACCCACCGCTGTGGACCTCAGGACCTCTGTGGAAACGTCATTCCTGGCAAAATACTTAGGAGACGATACTCCGAGGAATAGGAGACGATCGAAATGATTTAAGAGACGAAAGCAATCGTCTCCTATATTTAGGAGACGATTCAGTAGGAGACATTCCAATTAGGAGACGATCGTTTCGAAATAGGAGACGATCCGAAAGATTTAGGAGCCAATACCATACAGTTTACATGGTACACTTAAGAGACGATCCGTTGAGAATAGGAGACGATCCGTTGTAAATAGGAGACGTTTTAAGAGCAAAAAAAAGTTTTAAGAGACAATCCGTTTCGTCTCCTATTTTTAGGAGACAAAATCCATTAAATAGGAGACGATCAAAAGGATTTAGGAGACGAAAAGTAGCACGACTCAAGTTTCCACAGAGGTCCAGCATGTCCCTTGTCTTCGGCTTCCGCGAGGGACGCCACAAGCTACCGGTACCTGGTCTGGTAATGGTCAAAATATTGTGTTGCGTCCCACGGCCCACGGCGTGTCAAACCCAATCCGAGTCTCAGTCGAGTCGAGTGACGAGTCGAGTCCTGAGGCTTTAGCTAGCATTTTATTATTATTGCTGTTTTCTTGACGCGATGACGTTTCCCTCGTTTTTCTCTTTCTTCCCTCCATCACGGACACCCCACACAAATGCAACCAGACAGTGCAACAACCATCGGCTCTTACCATTGGAATCACTTGCAATTGAGGCTACGTGAAACAATCCACCATGGGTTTTGGCATGATGAAAGCAGCGGATGCTGTTGAGGGTCGTTCCTCGACGGCAGCTCATTATTCTGCCAACTACGAGACCATCACGGCAGGCGTGGCAGCCGATCAATTCTATGGCATTCCCCTCAAATTGGACATTACCGATGCCCCCGAGGAAACCCTCATGTATCTGGGCTTGCTGTTGCTGTGGGTTCTGGTATTTCAACCTCGAATCAAGTTTCTGCAAGGGCCTCTCATGGGGACAGCATTTTGGATGGCCATTATCGCCGCTGCTTGGGCCATCAAGGAAGTGACCTTCTACCCCATTGTGAGCGCCATTATCTTTACCAGAACACAGTATCCTTGGCCACTGGTTGTCTGCCACTGCATCACGGCCAACGCCGCCTACCGCAAAGAACGTGGACCCACCTGCAATTATCTCGAATCTTTTATTTTGGGATTCTTTTGCTACGGTTTTGGAGGGACCATTGTCTCGGATGTACTCATGGGCTTGCCTATTACAGCCTTTGGACATTCTCGGATTGTCCCCGTTTGGATCGTGGGATGGATCTTGATTTGGTTCTGTCCCTTTGATGCTGTCTACAAGGTTTGCGAAAAGAAGAACAGTTCCCTCTACTACTTTATTAGTGCCATGGTGGCGATTGATGGTGTGACAACTCCTTTTGGTAGAGTCTCACGAAGCGCCCGAGAGTTGAAAAACAAGTTGACAGCCCCCGTCATGGCAGGGTTAATGTCTGGCATTGGTGGCGCGGGTGTTCGATACGCGGAGAAAGTCATCTTGCGAGGAGGCGGGGAACGCGTACAACGGAGTTGCAAAGATGCCATTGAGGCGGGATTCTGGAGGACGTTGGGATATTCAGTGTTGTGGTGGTACATTGCAGTGTACAGGTGTGAAAATGGATCCTATGGTGACACTGCTGCCAACCATTGCCATGAATACAATGGTCACAACATGGATCGTTTTGTCATTACAGTGCTCCATGTGGCATGGAACTTTGCTTGTGATCTGGGCCTGGCTGGGGTGCATCCATTTGTTTTCCTATCGGCGCTATTGAGAAGCATGGGAAGTCACTTGGCCTACAATCTTGGCTATGGGCCGCCGCAATCGCACCGTCCTGATTTGTACTATATGAATGGTGTTCACCAAAAGATGGATTAGAAAACACAACAATGTTCCAGCGAAAGGCAGAATGGTGATATCCTCTTTGGGATCTTGAATGTAGTTTCCTTTCCTGTTGTATAACTAGTCCTCAAGAGCAATCTTGTTTGTAGGTGAGGATTTGTGGCCATGATCAGATTTGACACAAGGGATCGAAAAGACCACCTGAGCCAGGAGGAACAGTGATGTAACTATTTTGTGGTGTTTCTGCCGAGCCAGTGAAAGGGAGCGATGACCTGGAAACCCAAACCCAATGAGCTACCAAGTTAAATGGAATGGCCAGGTTTCCTCCAAGTTTTGCTATGTGCAGCCACTGGAGAGACAGCTTGGCAAGGTTAATTGTCAAGAGTTTGAGTGGCTGTTTGAGTGTGTCTATGAGAACAATCGCCCAAGATCTTTTTCACGGTCGTGTCAAACCCAATCCGAACACTGGCACTTTTTTAAGGCATATTGACATGGGAGTTTACGCAAATTGTTGTTTATGTTAGGGGCATTGCTAAAGCTCTGCAACTGACTTGACAAATTTATGTTTACCTCATCTACCTTGAATTCAAAGCTGTCGTCTAGCTAGGATGTTGTTGTGTGGAATCGTGTGGATGTGCTCTTTGACGCACTACTTGTACGCACAACGACCAAAATCCTGAGAGAATGCATTGTTGTGCCCTTCATACCATCCAACATCTTGACTTTCTAAAATTGTTGCATTGGATCCAAGCAGATGATAGTGGTACGACAGGTACGCAAGATCTGTGACTGATCTTGCCAAATGAGTACCACATCCAGCGATCTTTGGCACGGTACGGTAGGATCGAAGCTTCCGTGATGTTCCCTATTCACAGGAGTGGAGGCACTCGCATCGATCTCACAATCTCAAACAAAACCAAAACACAAACCAAACCAAAACAATCAGAACAAATCTACCTCTACTAACTAACATCTACACGTAACAATACCAAATCATGATGTCGTCCACTCTTGCCAAAGGCGCCGTGATCGCGTCCTTTCTCACATCGTCGCTGACAATGACAATGGCCCTTCCCGCGGCAGGATCTGTGACGGAGATTTCTTCCTTTGGCATTCCAGCGTCCCCCTCTGGCATGTTCTTTGATGACGAATCTGGATTACTCTACATTCTATGTGGAACCAGGACCAACGGCGACCACTCCTTGTATGCGTACACCACCGAGGGTGATCAGCGTTGTTTCATTACCATTCCACAATCCGTGGGAATGAGCCGTGTCGATGGCTTTTACATTACGCCCGACAACAACAAGGCTTATATTGTCGATTCGCAGGGTCCAATTTATGCTCCTCAAGGCGAAAACTATTTGGGAGGGAGCGTCTACGAGGTCGACTGGACCAATCCGTGTGGCTGTTCCAGCGACGGAACTTGCACGGAATCATCGGTGACATGGACTCCCACTGTGAGCCAGTCCTGGAGTCTTTCGGCGTCCGATATCAGTGCCACCGAAGGAGGAGGCAATGACGAGTACTTTCGTAACAGCGGGATTGTGGTCTTGGGTGACACTTGGTTTGGTGTCAATGGCGTTCATCCCGTGGAAGGATCACTCACCGCAAACTACCCCAAGTCCATTGTCCAAGTCGATAAGACAACCTCGTCCATTCTCAACACTTGGTCCTTTGATGGGTCCACGGTGGGCCATGATGTCGACATGGAAGGCTTGACGTGTGGGCCGGATCAATGCAGCACAATGCTGTATGTGGGAGACGAATACAACTACATCTACCAACTCGACCTGGAGACTGGCGCTGTGAACACGGAATGGGACTTGAACTCCATTGTTGGGAATGTCCCCACCGACAAGGGAATCGAGTCTCTCACGTACGCTCCCACTACGGGATACTTTTACGCCGGCATCCAGCAAACGGCGCAGATTCATGTAGTGAGTTTGGGTTCGGACACAACCGAAGAAACAACCGAAGAAACAATGGAAGAAACATCCACTGCAGAGACCACCACCTCAACACCCATCACACTAAGCCAATGCACTCCCACAGAAGATTTCCCACAATGTACAGCACCAACCAAAGATCCATCTAGTCAACGCGTCCGCCGGGAGATTCGTTCCTTGTCCACCCAGGAATGGGACAAGGTCGTGGCGGCCATGTGGATCATGAAGACGGAACCATCCATGGAGGCTGGAAAAATCAACTACGGAGACAACTTTCGAACCTACGACTACTTTGTCGTCAAGCATGCCGTGGCCACTACGGATAGTCGTGGAGACGAGGCTCATAAGGGTGCACACTTTATCACATGGCATGCGGCCTTTGTTTTGGAGTTTGAGAATGCACTCTTGGCCATTGATCCTTCCATCGAAGCAATGCCGTACTGGGACGAAACGGTTGCTCAGCCATCCGTCTTCATAGAGGACTACTTTGGTGTAGATCCCGCTGGATCTTCTGCGACGATGGAAGTTACCACTGGAAAGTTTGCGAACTGGCCCGTCTCCAGCACATTTTCCATTGACGATTGGACTCCATACATGACGGATACCTCGACAGTGACTTTCAATGGAAACATGGCGTCACCGTCTATTCTTCGTGGAGGCGAAAACAACGTGACAGCCATGTATGCTACTCGATACGGAAGTGGCTCCCAGTGGGAATCAGAGGCACCTTCAGAACAAGTCTGGTGGGGATGCACTGGCCAGGATGTGCAAGAGTGGAATGACTGGTACAGGTGCATTGAACAGGGTAGGCCCAGTCTCCACAGCGGCGCCCACGGAACTATCGGGGGGCGTCCGAACAACGAGGGTAAACGAGGAGACTTTGAAGACCCCGAGACTAGTCCCAATGGTCCCATCTTTATGTTCCATCATGCCAACCTCGACAGAAACCGCCATTGGTGGATGATGCGCAACAATGCCAAGGAAGAGCTCGTGTGTGAGTACTACGGTTTCCCCGTCGAAGGCGGCACGTTTATTGGTCCTCGCCCCGGGATGACAGGGAACGGAGACTTTTACGGTGCCCACTTGAACGATGTTGCTTCTAGCTCTTGGGGATTCAGTGCTGCTGACTTGGGCTTCGCCATGGAAGGCAAGGAGAATGAAAGCATGGAGGAGGCGCTTGGTCGTTCCTCTGGTTCTGCTGGTGGCGCCCTGTTGACTCATGCTGACTTGGTTTGTTGGATGGGACCCGAGACAGCACTCTACACATACGATACCAACATTGCTTGCCTTCAGGACAGCACTGCGTGCAATAGCTTTCAGGGCCAAGTCAAGCTACCAGGTGATGACATTACAACAACCAACACTGAGGTCAACCAGGAGGCGTCTGAGGTCAACCTGGAGGCGTCTTCGGCTACAAGCTTCTCTGTTTCTGTTATGGCTGCGTCTGTTGTTTTTGGTGCGACAATCTCCTACATGATCTAATTCATAGAAGCAATTATGATAGTTTTGCTACTGTACATATAGTTTGGTCCAGTAAGTCGAAATACGTATGTTCTGGTTTCATAGAGCTATGATCTGATCTGAACCAGGATGGCTATAGACTAGTATCTATGGTGGAGCACTTTGGTTCCTGCCATTCCCGCCTTTCTGTCTGTTCTTGACGTCCAGCGCGTGTTGTGGCAAGCTTGGCGAAGAGTCCCAGCTCACTCGGCAGCTGGCTAGACAGTTGACTGCTATTGAGGTGAAGCACAAAGGCAAGAGATTCAAGTACCTGCTGAATGGGTGGTGACTGAAGCTTCAGGTTGTGTCGACAGGCACAGGTTGTGCAAGCCAGCTACGTGTAGCAAAACTAAAGCTCGCCTAGGATTTGCACTCCCTGTCGAGACAGCGAGGTTTGTTGTATGTTTGTCTTGACTCGAAAGCTGCCAATGCCTGCTCTCTTCCTACCATTCTATCATTTTTTCAGCAATTTTGTGATGGAGTCGTAACCAATTCCTACTGTTTTGCCATCTGCCACAGGAAATCCTTCTCCAGGTCCTCTTGCTCCTAGTCCCACCAGAAGCACTAACCTACCAAGCAGTCCAAGAATGAAACCAGGAGCGTTGGCTTCAGCAACCACCCTCATCTGTATCTGCTCGGCCTTGGCTAGTGATGGCGGGTCTTTTAGAAACCTGGCACCATGAAAGCAGAGAGTTGATTTGTCCAAAACATCTTTTGGAAATGGGACTTCATTCTGCCCACATTTAGTGGAGGGATGAATGTTTGGACAGTAGACCAAGTTCATTGGGGCACTCTCACTGCTGACACTGACTGGTGTACCACAGCATGTGGTAAAGACACGGAGATTGTCTGTCTTCGGGGACAACTTCATATGCTCCAAGTATTCTTTGCCAGCAACTATTTTGATTTCACTCGAATACAGTAAAATGGTGGGAACCCCTGGGTTGAAGAAGGAGTTTTGAAAGGCATCATCTGTGGATCCTTCCTTCAGAACCTGTGTGTGGACAGAGCGTTTGGGGTAGACGGAGGATCCAATAACAACCAAATAAGATCACGAATATGAATCTCCACACCCGCTCACCTTTCAACTCACCGCCTTGCAATATCCCATACAATCGTTACAGCCACATTGCATATTAGTTGTTTCCAAATACTTGTAGTTGGCGGCTGGTTGATGGATTTCTGCCTTGACTTTGCCACAGCGGCACTCAAGAGTGGCGCGACGAGTTGCCTTTTGGCTGCGCTTCGATAGGACCAACCCTAGGATAGCTGCTGAGCTTGCCACAGCCGTCCCCATCACTACTGCCGCCAGTGTTTCCGTGTTATTGCGGAGAGTTTCCATTGCAATGTTTTGCCGCTGGTAGAAGGATGTTATGATTTGTGGGTCACTACCTGGTATGGCTTAGAGGGAACTGTGGGAAGGGGGGTTGTGTTTGCGTGGTCGGAATCGAATCTTTTGGTCAGTTTCAAGTTCTTCTTCCTCATTTCACAGACGTCCTTCCACGAACCAACCACGAAGCTCCAAGAACTGCGAAGGCAGCTATCGATACGGTACCGGGTACCGGTTCCGTACGCTGAACTATTGCCATGACTCTAAGCAGAGCAATGTGGAAGCACACTTGCTCCTGCCTGGACTGGTACGTCACCGTAGATAGGGTTAGGGTTATCAGGAGAACAGTCGCAGCAGGAGCCAATCCAAGCCACACATTGCTAGTAGCCACCAATCGAAGAGGACAATGGCGTCTGGAGTCGAGGAAGACTCCATGCCAGCGTCCAAATCTAAAATCTACTTCATTTTTGCAAAAGTGCCAGTGCTTGCATGGCGAACCACGAAGCTCCAAAAACTCATGATCATGCCCCACCAAACAAACTTAACAGCATGAAGCAGGCTAGCTACCGGTAGCAGTCTTGATGATGTTCATGTAAAATATCCAAATACATGCAGCAATCGCTGCAAGAACCAAAACTAGTGCATCCATTACTCGTAAGTGCTAGCTAGTCCGCACCATGGTTGGCAAGCTCATGTACTACATGTACCTTCTTGTCTGAAATCGACAGATGATTCAGAGAACCATTGGTCCCCACCAAACCCAAAGGCACAGGAGGGCAAGCACTTTGTGCCCCCTCTCCAGTGCTCCGGTTGTTATTTGCATCGCAAGAAAATGTTTTGCTTCCTTTGGAAATGCATGAGGAGGACCCAGAGCCAGATAAAGTAGGTACGGCACCCAAGCCCATTGCCACGGTACCGGTGTGTCACGGCGCTCCTTCTTGGCAGCAGCATTTCCCTCGTCTCCCTCCTGGCCGTTCTTGACAGCAGCTGTCTCTTCCTTGGCTCCTCCTCGGATATTCTTTGCGGTAGCTGTTTCATCCATGACTTCTTTCGGACCGTTGCTGTTGGCAGCAGTTGGAACTTGTTGTTTGCCATGATTTTGTTTTTCTTCTTCTCCCTCTTTTGGCTTCTCAACATCCTGCAAGTCAGATGACTCGTCATTGTTCGTTTGCAACACTGGCTTTGGTGGATCATTGTGAATCCTTGCAGAGTCTCTCATCAAGGCAAATTGGTTCATCGGTTGCTTCTTCCAACCTCGCACATGTTCCACCGTGGAGAAAGCAATCGACCAGCACAACGCCATTGCAGCTAGAGTACTACCTCGTCCTGGCCACATGTTTCGTCCGTCCTGCGCTTACTAGTAATCGACCTGATTGCAGTAATTCAAATTGGACACACCAAGTTGTCTCGAGGCAATTTGTGGGTCGAGAGGAAGGATGGATCGTTATCTTTCGGAGCGGATGATGATTGGCCTTCGGCTTCCACGTCGAGTTTTGTGACCGTGGAGTTAGGCGTGGAAACATACGGTACCGTACGGTGCAGTCGTACATGGAACGGGATCTCGTGACGTCACTCTCGCGACTATTCCAATCGGCAAAATTTCCCCACGGCCGGCGGGCGGGACAACAAGACACAAGAAAGATCCAGCAGCCAAACCCCTTCGCTCCGCACAAATAATAAATAATCTGAATTTCACGCAGCATCCATCCAGAAAGCACCACTCCATCATCAGGACTGGTCCTATCCAGCTTAAATGACGTCCGTTCGTTCGCGAAATCGAAATAACGGCTCAATTTCCTCCAAATCCACACGTTCGGCGAACCGCAGAAAATGTTTATAGTAAAAAAGTGGAGCTGCGGTTCGCCGAACGTGTGGATTTGGAATTCGCGTAGGACCAATCAGAACTCATTATCTCGCACTATCCCCAACTCTAGCGAGTTTCGAAAATCAGAACTCATTATCTCGCACTATCCCCAACTCTAGCGAGTTTCGAAAATCGAAAAGTGAGATCAGAACTCATTATCTCGCACTATCCCCAACTCTAGCGAGTTTCGAAAATCGAAAAGTGAGATCTCCTCTCGAGCACGTCCTCGAATCATTGAAAAGTGAGAAGAAGTACATGCATGCATGTACTACTACCGTGAGTTTCACCCTAACCCTGATGAGTTCGGCTTATTCGCGAATGACGTATCTGCGAATGGTTAAGAATGAAAACACATACGCGAAAATAAATGTGTTTCCTGTGCGAACGTACGAACCACATGAATGTGGTTAGGACCAGCCCTCAGTACCGGTACCACCGGTACCAACATAGAGCAATAACACCATGACGTCCAACAGATCCATCATGATTGGAGGCGACACGTGTCACGTCCTCTTGGCAGCCACAGCCAGTGTCGTGACGGTAGCTGCGTCTCTGTTGTGGATGAAACGGCTGGAATGGACGTCAGAAGACGGTCAAAAGAAGCGCAGATACTTCCAGTACAAGGTGATTCATGACGAAACTCTGATCGGCCCCAATCCCCAAAGGGAACCAGTGGACTCTCAAGCCAGTGCCTTGTTCCAATCCGACGCAAAAGAATCCTCGGCGTTGCTCATGTTGACCACGTATTCGCCGCCGTCTGCTTCTTCGGCCAACAACAAGAACTTGAATGCCGTGCTGATCCACGGATTCGGTTGCACATCTTTGGAATTTGGAGCACTCGTGTCCCAGCTCCGCCAGGACAATCATTCTTTGGGTATCTTTATGTATGATCGAGTCCTCTTTACATCTACCAGCGACTACCAACAACGACCGCGAGACGCCCCCACATTGGCCCGAGAACTCTTTCATCTCTTGCAAGCCAGAGGCGTCTCTCCGCCGTATCTGTTGATTGGACACTCCTATGGAGGCTTGATTGCACAACACTTTTGCCATCAACACATTCACGACGTGCAAGGAATGGTCTTGCTCGATCCAGCCCACGAAGATCAATTCCAAACATTTCCCACGGATTTTGCCCTGGGGTTTACCCATATCATTCCCCACGTGCTCTGGTTCTATTCCAAAGTTGCCTGGACGGGAGTCCTACAATTCTTGGATCGCTTGGCACTTTTTAATTTTCCTCCCCTCTTTCTCCTGTCACAACAACAATCCGCCACGAGACGAGCGTGTGCGCGCTTGTATTCGGAAGGTCACGTCTGGCAGAGAGTAGCCATGGAACTCGATGGATGTGCGCAAACCTTTGTGCAAATGCAGCAACAACAACAACAATCCAACACCGATAGTATTCGAAGAGATTTCCCACCCACGGCGCTGGTCATTGCCGGTCATCGACAATACTCACCAACCTTCTTTCCAAAGGCAGTTACCACAGCCTTTCTCCAAATGCACGCCACGTCGTTGCCTCATGCCAAGGTATTCATGGCCCCCAAATCAGATCATTGGATTCATCTCCAGCAACCCGAAGTGGTAATGCAAGGTGTAGAATATGTATTGGAGGAGATTCAGAAGAAAAAAGGGCAATAATGGATGCAACATTTGCCTGATTGGTCAAATGACTGCATGGATAGGGCAAGCTACGAACTCTACTCTACTCGAATCAAATCATCTATTTTGACGATTATTGTGGAGGGAAAAGAGGGCTAACCATAGAATCTCTAGAGCCTGGCAATTTTCTGCCATTTAGGATCTACTACATGTGCTCTCGTACATCCAAGGCACTACCGGTAGCAGTCTGGTTTACGCTCCCTCAACCCCTTCGATGTAATGGAATGAAGGGCTACAAGGGGTGTCTCAAGCGATTCCGGTCTGCAACTAATGTTACGGGATGGGGTCTAGCTAGTTGGAATGACCTTCCTTGGCGACTTCAAACGGCACAAGGTCATATACGACATGATGCATATGCTTCGCTCGGCCTGTCCCGAGTGGGGCGCAGGTGAGGATGCGGCAAAGCGTAAAAGACATGAAAGGAGTCTATGTGCATTGGGAACAAAAGCAATACGCCGAAGAGCCGGAAGGATTCCTTGCCAAGAATTGGCGGTTGGACCTCATTTGCTGTTTGATTTGCTTGAGGATGTTTGATTTGCTTGAGGATTGACAAGCTCTTCTCCAACCTTGTTGCCCGACGAAAGACCATGTCTGGAACCATCCGCAAATCATGAAATTCTGTGCAAGTCCAGGAGCATGAACGGCACATGCAATCCTCGAATGGTGGGTGGCAACGGGGTGACGGTCCAGAAGCGATTGGTGGAACCGATAGTGCCCAGTCATACCGTATGTCCGCGTCGTCTCATCCAGCTAAAACGTTTGGCTCGAGCCTACAAGTACGTGGTTAGATTGAATATTCGTCAAAGGGTCACTACACACATGCAAATCAACGTGTATGGGGAGATGGCGAATGCCAACGGTTTGGTGCCGCACAGCAAAGCCCCACGGAGGATCCGAGTCGCCGTAGCTGTCGTTTTTTTCTTCCTGAGAGATGTCAACGAGTTACGGTACCATTCCTTTGAAAGCCCAACCTCGCTCGTCCAACGTGACTGTACCGCTGTGCCGCTCATCTTGAGCCTCAATGGCCCTCATACAAAAATCAGTGCATAAAATAGCTCTTCTGCAAGTTCCAAGGCTACGGATCCTGATGCTAACAGAGCTTCTTCCTTGGAAAAGCCTTCAGTGGGGAGCTTCTTCATGTCAATGCCTCTTTGGGCCACATAGTTTGGCTGAGCTACACGGTCAACAAACTCGACCCAAAAGAATGACTTGGCTCCTTCTTCCAGGGATGTCTCTTTCTTGCCAGATAAGTAAACGGAGACTAAAGCAAAGAAAGAAAGAAGGCGAACCAGTTTGTCAGGTTGTATCGAATCCGCATTGCACGAAACACACACACACAAACTAAGTCTCCTCAGTATACCTCCTTTGGTTTCAAATTTGGGTCCCAGCACGTTGGTGAGTTCTTTCATGTGAGCTTCGCTGGCGTCGTTATTGTCGTCTCCCACCATGGATTGACACAAGACATCCACCAGTGCATTGTACAAATCCATGCAATCCTTGGCTTCCATCATGGTCTTGACACCTGCCGGAACCGTTTGCATGACTGTCTTTCGATCCATGAGCAGTTCTACCGCAATGCCCTTGGGAAAGTGGAGAGTCGTCTGGATCAATTCGAGCATTTCGTCATAACTGCTCACATTGTATTGAGGGACATATGTTTTGGCTTTGGTCTTGTCGATAAACTCGAACCATCGATAGCTCATGCCCTAGTCCGGTGTTAATTTGCAGAGCGCCACCTGGACACCCATGGCCGCAAATGGTTTTTCATATTCTTGGAGGACGGCAAGAATCTCTTCGGATTTCCAATTACGAATCCAACTGCGCGTGGATTGGCACTGGCAATGGATTTCATGCAGTCTTGATATACGGCGAGCAAGTCCTTTTCCTCCAACAGGGCTCGGACTTCTGGAGAACATGGGTCAGTGAGTTTCTGGACCCCTCCCAATTCTTCCACCACAACACCTTCCGGGACCTTGTGATGTCCGTGAATGACAGTTTTGTAGGATGTTTGTTCGTCGTCTCCTCTTTTCTTGAAGGAACCTTCTCCATAATTGACATTGTACGGTGTACTGTAGTCGGGTGTGGTTTCCATGTCAATGTATTCCAACCAATAGTTGCGTCCTTCATTGGACCCCACCGACTCGCACAGAATGGTTCGTACGCCATGATTGGCAAAACAGTTTCGAAAGTCCTCCAACGGCGGGAACTGGACCAATCCTTGATCTTGGAGTCTCCAAATATCAAAAAAGTTGCGCAGCGATTGGGATGCTGCAATCCAGTTTCTCGTAGTCTTGTTTGGTCAATCCTTTCAGGTCCATCATTAAAATTTGTGCTACCGCAGTAGGACAATTCTCCGAGAGTTGCGGTTGTCCATTGACCACCAATTGTTCGACGGCATGTATGATGCGTGTTGCCTCCTCGTGTGGACGAAAAGCGTTCCGACACTTCTTTTCACTTGGCGTCATCAACGGAATACAGAGGAACATACTGTAGTGAAGGAGAGTCACTTGGTCCATAATTTCCAGCCATTTGAGATATTCCCAATCGTCTCTTGGATCGGTGCATTTACACACGACAATGTCGAGTCCAAACGCCCAGAACTCGGATTCGAATTGTTTGACCATGGCTGGCGAGTACTTCGGTGGTTTTCCAACTCCCCGGCCATGTCCGTGTGGTTTTGGAGTCATAGATTGTTTGAATGAGTTTTTGATACAAGGCTGTGGCGCCCTTGGCTTGTACCAGTTCTAGTAGAACTGGTTGAGGAACAGCCGACCCGAATTTCTTGGGACTCCAATCGAGCATTTCGTGAACAGCCACACTGCGGTTGCCCGGAATGGCATGCGAGTTGTGCAGCACTTGTTGGTATCCACTGAGATCAAATTGTGTGGGTTTGTACGCAGGTTGGACAGAACTGTCAATGTACTCGATCCATTACTACCATCGATAGCTCCCACAAGCAATGGGACGTTAGACAACACAGTGCCACTTGAATGCCCACAAATTGTGGTTGAAATCGTTGGACAATAATTTCCACCAAAGCTGGAATGTTCCACGTTTTGCCATTGTGGCCCTTTTTGACGAGATCTTCCATGAATGCCACGTAGATCTTCTGCAGCTTCTTCTGGTACAAGAGAGTTTGCACTGCCTCGGGACAAGTAGTATTATAGTGGAGATTGGAGGTTTGTACGTGCAAAACTTTTTAAACTGAAGCGATGATGCCATGCAAAACAAAGACACGAACCGTTTGGCTAACAGGACAATTCAGGGCAGGAAGGTTCGGTCGGAGGCCAGACCTGGATCTTTTCACGCTCCGCTGGCCATCACGAGTGCTTTTCTGGCAGCAACCATGCGATTCATCCCTTTCTTCTTTCCGCCTACCGGTACTAGTATGACTACAACTCAAAGTGGTCTACTATAGTATTACTACTTACTAGTACTCAATACAGGAAGCAACTGTTCTTCTAGAGAAGCATAGCAGGGATCAGAGAAGGCTACTAGCACAGGATGAGTAACCGAGGACTGGTGACGGAAACTGTGGCTTGTAGTTACGGGGACTGTGTCAGGATCGGTGAAAACGAAGTCAAAGTGGTTGGCACTGAGACCATAGTCTATGGCGGATAAAAATGGAGGTATGCATGGACGACAACAATAAGCTCAGATAAGGGCTACATATGCAGAGATACAGAAATTGCCTGATGGAATTAACAATCATGCGGTGAAGAATCGGCTGAAGCTGTGGTCCCAGCCTGAAGCTGTTGTCCCAGCCTGAAGCTGTTGTGGTCCCAGCCTGAAGTTGTTGTTCCAGCCTGAAGTTGTTGTTCCAGCCTGAAGCTGTTGTCCTAGCCTGAAGCTGTGGTCCCAGCCTGAAGTTGCGGTCCCAGTGTAAAGCTTTTGCAGACAATTTTCGACCATCGAAACGCGAAAGCCCTTTTGTCTTCCGGCTTCAGCAACAACAGCGATGGGAAGATCGTTCGTCGGCAACAAGAACAAGAGTAGCGGTCTTTGTCAACTTTGTCATGGTGGATCTTTGGGCCGATCAATTGCCAAAACACAAGATCACTCCAGAAGCTTACACCTGGAAGGAGATCTGTCAGTTTTGAAACGTCCGAGACACGTCTTTTCTAGCTGTCTTTGGCTACTGAGACAGGTTGTCTCTGCTTCTCTGAGACATAGAATTAATACCAGGGGTATGATACTTACTATTGGGAAAGAGGGCAAATCGTTGGCTTGGGGAATGTACATTTATTTAAGCTGGTCCGGCTGTACTCAGTAGCTTTTTCATGGAGCTGTTTGAAGTGCTCTTTGTTGAAAGCTTTAAACATTTCAAACCATGGCAGCAGTGATGGTTTTAAAAATGCTGTGGGATTTTCTTTGACTAAATACATACTAATTACTAGTGCATGTTTTACCACACCAAACATGCTTCAAGAAGGCCTCATAATTGCAGAATCAGCTTTTTTACTCTTTGAGCCTATTCAAAAGAACCAAAGTAAATTGCACATTCCACCCCCAGACCCCCTTCTATGTTTAAATCGTGAGGTGACCTCACGAACATGGACACGATCTTGCCAGGAGACAGGAGACGTCCCCCGTATGACGTCACCTTCGTGACATAGTTCGAATTCGGCGAGTAATCTCCCCACGACTGGCCGGCGACTCTGAAAATTCCAGGCGTCCACAAGAAAGAGCCACCACCATGCTTCCGAACATCATGTCCCATCAAGGACAAAAGAGGTGGAAAGGTCCCAAGGCAAACTGATGCAAGAGTGTATTATTCTCCCGATGCGGCTGTACGTTATGCAGTGAGCTATAGTAGCTAGCTAGCTATAATAGGAGACCTGGAAATGCAAGTGACACTATCAATCCACGGAAGTGAATCAAGTGATCCCAGAACCATTCTTCGAGAAGAAACCATGGCAGCAGAAGAAAGCAAGATGGACTATCGAGACGTCAAGTTTGACTTTACGGTTCCCAGTTTTGATACATACGATATTGAAGATATCGAAGACATTGAAGATGTGCAAGATTTTCCGGACTTTGCGGCTCCCACAACGGCAGTGTTGGACTTGCCCGAGATTCCCGACATTCCCGACGTGACGGCCGATTTCGACTATGATTATGGCGGTGTCCCCAATTTCACCGTGCCAGACACAACTACTGCGAAGCACCCCTCGACGGACAGCTCTTCCAAACAAAACAAGTCTTCCAAGAAGAAAAAGAAAGAAAAGAAGAAAAAGGACGACGACTACGAACATGTCGTGAATGATCCATGGCAACTGACAGCCGACAACGCCGTAGTCTCGGAAGAAGAAGAAGGAGGAGAAGAAGAAAAGAAATCTGCCAGCAATACAACCTCCAACAAAAAGGACAAGAAAAAGAACAAATCATCCAAAACAACAACATACGCCATCGAACAGGAGGACACCTTTGATCCTGTGGGAATCACAGCAGCAGCAAACAACAAGTTGGACATGTCTTCGGCACCACTCAAACTCTCCCTCGATGGAGAAGACGAAGAAGATGACGAAGAATACAAACAAAAAGCCAAGGCACTGTTGGAAGAACACTTGAAACAACCACTGGAAGACATTGAGTCGTTTCCTCGAAAGGGAAAGAATCCTAAAAAACCAAAACGAGATCAAGAAGACATTCCCAAAACACTCGTGACGGGAGGCACCAAAACACAACGACAACTATCCATTCGTCAATTGGCAACAGCAGAATCAACCGAACAACCACCACCACAAACAACAACAGAACCACCACAACCAACAACTACTCGTCCACCAGCTATTACAACAACAACAACATCCGCCAACAACAACAAAAACCCCGCTCGTCCCTTGATTGTTCAAGAAGGAGGAGCCGATATTGCCTCACTCCTCTTTGAAGGGGCCGCCAGTATGGAAGAACGGCAAGTCGAAATTGCCTTGGAAGAACTCAGTCAAGCATTCTTGTCGTCCCATACCAAATGCACCGAAGCCATTGATCTGGGAGGCCATGGCATTGTCGTTGTGACCATGCGCAAATGGGGATACAACAAAAAGATTCAACAATTGGGATGCGAGTGTCTGCACAATATCGTCTTCAATTACAAACAACATCCCATGCAATTGGATTTGTTTGATGCCTTGGCCGTCATGGGGGCACTTGAAACGGTGATTGAGGGTATGGATCAATTCCCCGAATCCTTGGGCGTCCAACGATTTGGATTGGCGGCATTGGGGAATTTGCTCGTGGGGAAAAAGACCAGTACACGTTTGCAGGCACGGACGCACAAGGCCGTTCAAGAATTAGATGCCATTACGACGGTAGTGGGTGGAATGCGACGATTCCCCAACAATGTCATGGTACAGGGATGTGGATGCATTGTGCTGGCGGCATTCCTCAAGGCCAATCCCGGTGATTACAAGAGTAAAATTGTCGAGGCAGGTGCCGTGCTCGATGTGGCGGCTGCCGTCACGAATCATCCCGCGAATGCGCTCATTGAAAAGGAGGCTTCGGCATTTATGAAAGTGTACTTTGGGTGGCAGCAGCAGCTGACAGCAGCATCATCCGCAGCATCCACCGTGAATGGGGTATGACAATCCATGACAAGCCACTCAAAATGTGATGGCCAAACGATCAGTTATCATCGTCCATGTGCATGGTTACCGTAGCTATCAAGAGGGGTGATACTGGCAGTGTTTGCTTTCGAAAGAGTCCCATCCGATGGTCCTACCGTATTTGAATGTTTAAGTAGCCCACCGGCAACTCTCTTTGGGAGCGCAAACGATCCAAAACGGGTCAGCCAGCTAATCAACAAAGTTGCACCGTGGATCCGGCAAAGCCAAACCCTTTGGCCCCGTAACGGTCCTCAATTTATCGCCCCTGATCCCACGGAACCTAGTCCTGAATTTCGGCTCTTCTTTGCTTAAGCCTGGCCCCGGCTGGCTTCCGTAGATAATCTACCTACTCTAAACCCCCATAATCAAAGTTGCATTCAGAATGATCTCACTACCAACACGATGACTTTTGAAGACGCCTTTGAGCTTAAAACAGCAACAAGCTAGCTTGCTGGATGATGCCACAAGTATGCATACCCCCCTTAGGCTCGTAGTGATACCGGGATCATTAACATCGGTTTGTTGAGGGTTTCTCTTATTAGTACAAGTAAATGTGCTGCAAAAATAACCCAGTTTATCTTAACTCTAAGGGTCCTCCTCGGCATCCTGTGGGCTCCCGTAGCGCAATGGTGCCGCTGTCCCATTGAACTGTAAGTGTGTGAGATTGTGAGAGATTCAGAGATCCTCAACAACCTGGCTAGTCAGCATGCTTCGAAGCCTGCAGATGGCTCTGCCTCCTCAACTGCAACAATTGAAATATCAAATGACAACAGTTGAGTATGTATAGGTAGACAAGATAAACTATAGCCACAATGTAGCAAAAACCCTCACGCTTCCTCTGCGCATGAATGCTACATGCTTCGAGCACCTCCTATACTTACAGTCGTTTTTCATCTAGGAGCAGCTCGCGGTCGCAACTCCGTCACATGCCATCGCTTAGTGACGGAGCTGCTCGATAGCTTTATTGGATAGTCATCCAACGAAGCCCAAATCACTAACGAAGCTCACAACTTCTCCTGAACCATCGTTCTTGACGTAAGTTGTGCAGCACCTACAAGATTTCGGACTCCGAAGATTCTCAAGAAGAGACTCCCAGAGAACTCAGGGCGGATCTCAGATCAGAGGCTAGAAGAAGACAGGCCGAAGAAGCAGCAGAAACGCTTCAGAGAACTAGAAGCAGGATTCAGAGAAGAAGACAAAGACTGGAACAGATACACCAAGAAAGGCAACAGAACGAACCGAACACCATGGATGCAGCAGCAGTACGTACCTTGGTGCAAGAAGCCGTTCAGGCAGCTATCGAGGCCACGAGAGTCCCACCTCCACCACCTCGCGTCATCCCATTCGCGGTGACGCCAGCTGGAGCAGGCAACACGGCATGGGATTTCACTTCCAGCACCGGACTCAAGATCTTCGTCGCATCCACAGCACCATTCTCAAAACCTTATGATGGAGAGGAAGCCGACCTTCGCGATTTCTTGAGAAAGATCTTACACAGGGCGGAAACGTACGGATGGACGCAGATCTTTTTCATCGCTGATGGTGCAGGAGTCATTCGCAACCTCACCAAAGAGCATGGATGCCTCGAACTGACGAACGTCCAGGCAGCAGCGGTCACCAATCTACGTGGAACCGGAAGGCCTCATCAAGCATCAGAGTGTCTCCGTCAGCTGATCATCGGATCAGTGACGGCATCCATCGCCGACAAGCTCTATCATCGGAGAGCAAACTACACCATCAACGCTGCTGCGGCAGCAGTAGATGGAAACCCCCCTCCTGCTCCAATCATGAAGGAAGATGGCACGTGCATGCTGTATGAGCTGACCACGTTGGTATCCGTGGAGACAAGGGCGACAGTGGCAATCATCACCAAGAAGCTGTCGAACCTTGACATGATCATGGAAGAGAAGAAGTCGAACGTCGAAGCATTCAACGCGGCAGTCAATGACTTGGTAGCGGCGCTCCATGCTAGGGCGGCAACAGTTCCCCCGATGGTCACAGCTCTCTTCGATGGATACTCCATGTGTCAAGACTCCATCTTCGTCAAGTATATTGCCAGGAAGCAAGAAGAGTATGAAGACGGCACGATCAACATGACTCCGGAAAGGTTGATGAGCCTTGTCCTCGAGAAATACAAGATCCTCGTATCCAAGAAGGCTTGGATGAAGAAGACGGAAGAAGAGATGGAGATCATGGTCCTCAAAGCTGAGATCTCACAGCTTAGGAAGAAGCCATCAGCTTCAGGATCTGCTCAGCCCAAGAAGGCGACAACTCCACGTCAAGGAAAGGATGATGACAAGTATGCCTGGAAACAGGTAGCTCCCAAGGATGGAGAGCCACATGACAAGACAGTCAATGGCAAGGAGTACATTTACTGTCCCCACCATGAGACGACCAAATGGGTCCTCAAGGTCAATAACAAAGGGATTGAGCATCGTACTGGCTACTCCAAGCTCAAGGACTCCTCGACAAGTGGATCGAGTGGTACCGGATCGGATGGATCAATGGCTGCGGCACTGGCCAACGCCACGGAAGAGATTGGATCGAACACCCATCAGCAGGAAGCTGTGGAGGAAAATACCTGATGGTGGCGGGCCAGTGAACTGATCCGTACCCTCCTTGTGATACTTACATCTAAGAAGCGCATTTTTAGGTAGTGCTAGAATCGACATGCGTGCAGGTACCAAACGCCAACCAGCACGATCCCGATCCGTGACGTAATTTCTTCCAAGAATGCGTGCAGTGATTGGAATCGGGATTGTGTGTTCCACATGGGCATGCAACGAAGGCCCGCCGGCAAGACTGCCTGCTTCACGATTTGGGATCCACTTTTTGGACCGTCTTTTCGGAAGGCAAACCCTCTCTTTGGTACCATAAACTATATCCCGATGGTAAGCGGGCGGTTCCCCAGCACACAGAATCCCAATCACCAGCCAGTGCGCTAGCTAGTACTAGTAGCAGCTAGTGTTGGCTGCTAGCTTGCAGCCATGGCATCATCAAAGAAGGAGTTTGAGTGCCCTTACTGCAATAAAAAAATTCAAATCTGTGGGATATCAGCAATTCACATGCAACAGAACAAGCGCTGCCACAACTGATGCAGAAAGCCTTGGTTTGGACCTTGCTTTCAATCCTATAGGTGCTAGACAGACAAGATCAAGGGCCAGAGCTGATCAGCTTGGTCTCACTGACACCGGTGGCCGCAAAAGCACCAAGAAAGGCAGCAAGAGGACAAGATTCCAGGGCAGCCATTCCACAAGGATTGCAGGACGAGGAAGCCCATGCCAGGGCCTCACTCCAAGGTAGTGGTGGTTCCAAAGAAGACACAGACCATCGGGAACCTGCAGCAAATCCTCAATCGGCAACAAAAAGGTGCCGATGGGGAAGGAATGGGGAGCTAGATGAGGATTGTGATTTCCCTACCAACATATGATACGTTTCAACGCGGATTCGGATAGTGAGCCTAACAGTGAGGACAGTGAGCTCGTTTGGAAGGGTCAGTTGCCACATTGCAAGGTGACAAACAAGAGGACTTGGATGATACCGGCCCCCCAGACGAAAGCAACAAAACGCATTCAGAGCCTACTGTGTCAAATCTCTCTCTTTTC